TTAAATAATAATAATAATATTTTAAAGCATGAGAGCCCCATTGAGAACTATTTCACGTTTGAAGGGCCGCATATGTAATTAAATAGACCCAAGAGAGAATGTTTTTTAATTTGGTGCTCATTTTTTGGTCATAAAGTCTGGTGACGACCTTTTAGTTGGCGAACAAGACCTCGCGGGCCGCATAAAATGGCTTCGCGAGCCGTAGTTTTCCCACCCCTACCTTCTATCTTAAAGGGTAAGACTGCAATTTTGAAGATGATTTGAGTAAAGACAGCGGCCATTGAAGCATTTGGGGAAAACAATTGAAGGAACTGGAGATGTCTAGCATGGCCAGTCTTAAAAGTTTTGTTCTTAATAGTAGGAAGTTTTTTAAGAAATATGCCTAAAGTTGTATATAATGGAGAGTTGAATGTTTATATTTTTAGTATGTATCATTAGAGGTATCATGTTTCTTTTGTGTTTTTATGCCGTTGTCTTGTCTTTTTTCTCAGATCTTCAGTCTTAAGTTTATTATTTATTTATATAATTAATTATAATTAATTATTATGTAAATAAGTAATTTATTTGTTTATATACTTTAAAATATTTTTTAACGAATTTTTGTAGGAAATGAAATTTAAATTTCTTCATATTGTCTTGTAGGAAGACATTTTTTTTAATTCATTTAAAATCAGCTTCCAGGAATTAGATATTCGTTATTGTTAGGTCCAGATGTCATTCAAATATTATTATTATTCTTATTTGTTGCTGTAATGGTTGTTTATTGCTTATTATTAATGCTTTTATTTGTTTATTATACCAATTTTTCAATTTCAATATCCGCTATTTAATTACTTCCAGAATGCAACCAAATTTCGCGAGAGGAATTTAATTAATTTTAAATCTATTCAGAATAGACTCAGTATATTCATTAATAATAATAATAATAAAATTATATTTATTATAATAATGATTATTACTATTATAAGAACAAAAATAATTATGGTGATAATCAAATTATCATAAGCAGTGTCCGGATTTGGTTCCAAAGAGATCCCGGCCTACTCTTGACACTTTCGATAAATACATAAAAAAATTTAAAAATAATTTTTTGCTGGGGGTTGAAACTCCCTGCAGTACCCCCTCACGTTTGGGTAGGCCCCAGTTCAATAACTAAAAACTTATTTTAAACACCATTATATTAACTATTTTATGGAGTTGTTCACTCGAATTTACAAATATTTAACTGCAAATCTAAACAAAAAATTCTACGCCATTCATTTCATCCGCCAGCCTATCTAATACTAGTCCGTCTTAACTAAACCGTGTCAACTTTCTTCATTCTCATTCGCTAGGGACTTTAAACTTTGAGTAGCGGCACTGATCATCGTGACCATCGTAAACTGGACAGCTCGCCACGTTTTCCCACGTCTTCCACATCTTTGTAGGCCATCTGCCGACCACACTTTCAGCCTGTGTGTGTGTGAATTTTGTGAATTAGTAGTTTCGGGATTTTTTTTTGTTAAATTTGTAGTTTAGTGGCTGGGTGTTGACTGTTGTTGGGAATTTTTGAGTTTTATTAGAAATTATTAGAAGCATTGTTAGGTGTTAAACACGTTGGTTGTTTGATTAATTGAGTGTTTGTCTGTCAGTCTGTCTGTCTGTTTGTTTGTTTGTCTGTTTGTATGTTATACTATCAGTATAGAACAATTCTTAATTATAGAATAATATTACAAATTCATGGATGAAAAATTATTGAAAATTTGATCTATTAAGCAAGCCATGTGGAGAAGCAAAATCTACTGAGAACAAAAATTAACATAAACATCAGAAAAAAAATTTAATAATTTCCCCCAAAAAAAGTCCCAAAAAAGTCCCAAACCTGCCACTGCAAATCTTTTTTCCACGGAATCTCAGGAATATGTTGGATGGGCGACTTGAAGGAATAGACATTCGGCGTGTCGGCCAACTCCGAGGAATGTTGGGACGGAAAAATCATATCCGGATGGGTCGGGTCATACATCAGTCGCCTGCCACTTGAAGTTGTGATCAGATCCTTGAATGGGTCTATGTAGTTGCCATTTTCGTCACGCTTCAGACGAGAATTCCTCAATAGAGAGTCGTAATTATCCGAGATGAATTCCAGGTTTTGTCCGATCGATTCGGTTGTTATAGTGTTGTTGTTGTTGTCACAAGTGCGTTCGCTGTCGTCATTGTCGTCGCTACAGTAATTTTGGAAGCATTGTTCGCAGCGATTTTTATCAACTGAAGTTTTACCTTCGTACAGTGCGCTTAGTTTTGGCTGGTTTGAAAAAAGTTATAAGTTATTTTGACAATAATATTTTTACAACCATTTAAAATATAATAATAATTAATAATAATTATTATTATTATATATAATAATAATAATTTTCGTTTTTATTAGATTATCCTTATTTCTTGTGGATCTCTTTGCTTCAAACTTGGTCATTAGCCATTAGTCGTTTAGAGAATTACACTGACATTACTTTCAATTAAAAATGGTTTTGTTTCAAAATTCGCGAAAAAAAATTCTACGAGTAAGACGAAAAAATATCCTGAAATGGATTTTTAAAATTTACTGCTGTTAAAACTTCAACTTAATCGTGTTCATTTCCTGGCTTCTATAGGAAGAGTCTGAAAGAAAGGAAGAGATTAGGAAGGAAGAAAGGGAGAGAGAGGGAGAAAAAAGAGAGAACTACAGAGAGACAAAAAAATACAAAAAAAGATACAGAGAGAGAAAAAAAGAAAGAGAGAGGAGTACAGAGAAAAAGATACAAAGAATAGTGGAACTGAGTGAAAGAAAGAAATATTCGGAAAAAATAGAATGAAAGAGAAAGAGAAAAAACAGAAAAGAATGACAACAAATAGAAAGTTAGAAGAGAGAATGAGAGAAAGAGAGAGAGAGAGAGAAACGTAGAAAATTTCTGAAAAGTTTTGTCAAATGGGGTTAATGAAAATTCGTTTGTATATAGCAGGTCTTATGCCTGCTTATTTTAATGGCTCCAAGAAGCTTAATTAAAATCTAGAGAAGAATTAATTGAAGTAGTAGTAGTAAATTGTGAATTAGTGAGTGAACATAAGAACAAATGAACGAAAAAATTATTGCATGAATGAATGCATGTACGAACCAAATGAATGAATGAACGAGCTGACAAAGAAATGAATGAATGAACAAACCAATAAAGGAATGAATGAAGAAACGAACAAAAAAGACAAAAAAAATGCAAGAATGAAACTCACATAGGACGAGCAACTTGCACCACAACTGATTTGATGCTTACTGGAATAAAATATTTAAAAAATCATGAATATAAATATGAAAATAATACTAAAAACAACAATTCTTTTATCTATCTATCCAGTCTTCTATTCATTCACTCAGTTATTCACTCGATCATTCATTCAACATTCATTCATTCACTCATTCATGCATCCATTCATTCATCTATTCATTCAAAAAAAACACATTTGCTGATGTTTCAAGTGGGAGCCCCAGATAAAATTATCCGTGTATTCCGTGGCGTATCCAGGTCTGTAGATGGCAATCACGTCGAGTTTCTTCTCGTCAGGATCGCAACAGTATTCCGGATTCTTGGGGATTTCCATAATTTATTGATAAATTTTATTTTGAAAATTTGTAATTTATTAAGTTACGCAGCTATTGGTAAAATTTCAATAGCAATAATGTAGTAGTAGTAATCCAAAAGTATTAGTTGTAATAAGTAGCATTAATAATAAAAATAATAAGCAATAATTAAATATATTAATAACAAAATATAATTATTTAATTAATTTTCATATAAATTTGCTAGCCATCTATAAGAGTTTGCATGGAATAGTTATAATAACAACAACAATAATAATAATAATAATATAACTATGACGACACGTAAACAAAGAATTATAAAATCTTGAGAGAAGATATAGATTTTTTTAATTAATTGTCTTTGGAATTAATTTTTTGTGTTATTTTGGTTTATTTCGAGTTTATTCTACATTTGTTATTTGTTATAAAAATAAATGAATGAACGAAAGAATGAATGAAACAATGATAAATAAATGTATATATGTTTGTATGTATGTANGTATGTATGTATGTATGTATGTATGTATGTATGTATGTACGTAAGCATGCGTTATAACGTTTAAACCAAAGACGTTTTTCCATGCGTTGATGATGGGAAAAATTTCTTGCGGTTCCTTCTTGCTGTTTTTGTTGTGTGTTCGTGGTTTTAGAATCATTTTTTGCCGATAAAACAAAATATTTAAATAGATTTTTTATTTTTTTTGACAAAAAAACACAAACGACAAATTTTTTTTATAAATTTTTCATTTTTTATCAAAACTTTTTCACTATTTGTTGACGTTTTTTGGTGAATAATAAATAAAAAGAGTTAATAAGTTGTAACTAATTAGTTTTAATTAACTAGATCGGCTTAATTAACTTGAAATAATTAAATCAAACCAAGCCTGAGAAACCAAATAAAATGTTAAGATTTTATTTTCTGCTATTGAGTTTTTCCATTGGCTATCTGGGTAAGAAAATTATCATAATTTATAGAAAATATAATAAATTATTATAAATATCGGCTGTGCGGTTGTGTAACAGTTAAGATGCAGTAGTAACCAGGTTTGAATGCAAGTGAACCCCGACTATCTCATGCTACGTTTGTGTGAAAAGCGTTGATACACGTGTGTTTACGTCCACATAGTTCTCGAGTGTTTGTGACTGTTGATATCTTTAAGAAAATGCCGAATAAAAAATTACAAATTATCATTTATATTATTATAATTATAATAATTATTTTCTTTTGTAGAAGCCAAAGTAGCCAAAAACCATCCGAAATTTCCGATTTTTACTGGTGTCATTAACAGGTTTGCTGAACCTGGAGATGAGGTTTGGTTGAGTAAAGAATTGATCGTTACTGATTGGTCTGGCATTAGTGGAGGTATGTTTTGTTGGTTATTTTTTGTATGTTTTAGAGTATTTTTGTATGTTGTAGAGTATGTTTGTATGTATTTAAGTCTTGTTTCATCGAAGTTGTAGAAAGCCTCTAATCCAAACATATAACATTTACGAACTGCTGAAAAGTTATCAAAAATGCGAACACATATCAATTGAAGCTTAATGTCCAAGCAATGGATGTCGCTTCAGATTTTCTGACTGAAAGGTGTGTCTTCATGAATCTGGAAAACCAATCGGCCCTAGGTATTTTGTCAAGCAAGCATTCTTCGTCACCAGTAGAGACACATTTCTTGGCTGAATGTTACCAACATTGAAATTTTACCTCTAGGGCCTCTCTCACAGTAACTAGCATTATATCCAGAGACGAATTTAGAAAACTTTGACGAGGAGAGTCAAAAAACTAATTAAATTTGTGAGTGTGTGGCTAAAATGAGGCTGGTGGTTGACGACCTTATTTTCTTTTCACGTTGATTTTTGGTCGATTTTCTTCTTAAAACAGTGTTCTCCTGTGTAAAAACTGATGTCTTACGGAGTTTCATTAAAAATGCTTGCTCAACAACGTTTTTATATACTGTTTTTCGCTGTCAATATCTGACCATTCTGATAGATCCTCCTTCAAAAACAAACACGTTTTAAAATTTTGGACTAATATAAATAAGATTTATGAATGCTCTACTAATTTATTTAAGCATTCATTCATTTATTTTAATATTGATTTGATTTTTGAAAAAAACTCAAAATTCAAAAACGAAAACAAAAAAGAAATATGCGGTTACGGGGTGAGGCACTCGAAATCGGAGGATCACCCCTTCAAGATCAACCTAATCGATCCGGAACGTGGCCTAGCTAGGGTGTACCTAAAAGACGGCTGGTCTCTCGAAATGATCAAAGATCCCAAATACAAGATGGAAATTTACCCCTATGATTGTCAATCTGGGGCCCACGGGTCAAGGTGGGGATTTTGAAATTTTTTTTGAAAAACTGTTTTGAAAGATTGGTTATTTAAAATAATTTAGTTAATTTCTTTCTTTAACACCCACTTTTTCTCATTTTTTAAACTCTCTCTTTCTCTCTATTTCTTTATCTATCTATTTCTCTATCTCTCTCTTTCGCTCCCTCTCTTTTTTTACTCAGAGACATTTAAAAAAATTTTTTTCTTTCAGAATTTGTGCACCATAACTCATCATTGTTAACCATTCAGTTAATCAAATTTTTCCGTTATTTTTGGAGTTTTTATTCTTTTTCTTTCTCCTACTCACTCACTCCACCATTCCATTTTCTCTCTCTCTCCCTCTTTCCTTCTTTCTCTCTCTCTCTCTCTCGCTCTCTTTCTATCTCTCTCTCATTCCCTTTGTATCTTCTTATTCAATTTTTATTTTCTCACTCATTTAAACTAATGTTCCCTCTCTTTTTCTCTCTATCTTTCTTTCTATTTATCTTCTTCCTTTAATTTTTATCTTTCACCTTCTTTTTTCCCACTCTCTCATTCGTTTTCAGTTTCTTGAAAAATATAAATTTTTATCTTTCGTAAATGTTTAATAAGCTGTTTATGCCAACACGTTGAGATCTCTTCTTCAACATTTTTACGTGTATTTTTTCAGTATGTATGTATAGTATGTGTATGCATATTTGTATGTGTTGTACTCATTGTATGTATGTATGTATGAATGTATGGATGTATGTATGTATGTATGTATGTATGTATGTATATATGTATGTATAGATGGATGGATGTATGTATTTATGTATGAATGTATGTATGTATGTATGTATGTATGTATGTATGTATGTATGTATGTATGTATGTATGTATGTATGTATGTATGTATGTATGTATGTATGTATGTATGTATGTATGTATGGATGGATGGATGTATGTATTTATGTATGAATGTATGTATGTATGTATGTATGTATGTATGTACGTATGTATGTTTGTTTGTTTGTATGTTTGTTTGTATGTATGTATACACAATTTTGTGTATAAGCTAATTCTCTCAGCTCATCATGTTCCTTGTATCACTTGGGGATTGGCTAAATTACGTTTGTATTTTTGTGTTTGTGTTTTGTGTTCTTTTGTATTTTTTGTATTTTGTATATTTTTTTGTATATTTTTGTAATTGTATGTGTTTGGTTTGTTTGAGTATCTGTGTGTGTGTCTGTGTCTGTGTGTGTGTACGTTCGTTTGCATATACATATAGTTTTATATATGTATTTTTGTTTGTTTGTATGTATGTATATATGTATCTATGTATGTATGTTTGTTTGTATGTATGCCTATTTGTATGAATGTTTGTATGTATGTTTGTATGTTTGCTTGGCCCTTGTATGTTTGCATCTTACATATTTAAATATTTGCTCAACTGCTTTCATTTCTTGGTTTCTGGTCGGTATGAGTGGGAGAATGATTGATTGAATAAATGAATGAATGAATGAACGACGAACGAACGAATGAACGAACGAATGAATAAATGAATGAATAAATGAATTATTAAACAAATGAAATAATTATTATTTTATATAAATGTAAATCT